CCTTGGGTGAAGGGGATTCAAGTTTGTTCAAATGAAGGGCCACACCAATGGGAGATAATTAAGAATTAGCAAAATTTAACTGCATCTTTAAAAAATATTCTTCTCAAGAACCACTGGGCAAGAAAACATGAAACTTATGTGGCAGCAACCTCAGGAAGTGTAGATTCAATTATGTTCAAATCATGACCTCCGAGGGCCAAAATGGGTGATAAAAGTTTTACGTAGGAATATATAGGGGAAAACTTTAAAAAAAATCTTCTTCTCTAGATCAGTAAACGCATGGATAGTTATATTTATGTGGCAACATCCTCAGATAGTGTACATTACTACAGTATCAAATTTGCAGGTCAATGGTGTATCTATCTTATTGCTACTTTGTAGAAAATTTCTAATACTCACAGTCTTCACGAAAACTCACTAGCCCGACACCCGAGGCTAGTTAAAATTGGTCTGGGCTAGTAAAAATTGTCTCAGAATTAGCCCAACGGGCTAGTGAATTTCCCAGTTCTGCTTTTAAATTCCCAACCAATGAAAAAAATCATAGCTGTGTGGTCCTATTGTTCATCAATCTCCTTTATCTAATTCTTGTAGCACCACTATACATGATTAATTTATTCATAAAAACGATCGTCTTTTTTCTCTAGTCCGAATTTCCTCCATTCCGCTGCGTATGGTAAACATGGTAAATACATGCAGAAATCCCATTAAATTATTTCAGATTACTCAATTAACTGAAGTGTAGATGTTTACACGATTATCAAAAATATATTTACAGTGTATCTGAAAAATTTAAATTGGTATCAAAGTGATCCAGTTTTGGAAAAGTAATCTTTAATCCATTCCCAAGTATCTATAAGCCCTACATTTTCCAGATGAGTGACCAGGTTAAAGTTTTTGGAGCAGGTCCATTCCCAAGTAAATATAAACCCTACCTGGACCAAACTTGCATGGATGATGCATCTAGGGACGGACACTACCACACTTGCTTCGGATGCTGGATCTGACCTACAGTTTCCAAATGAGTGACCATGGCAATGTTTTTGGAGTAGCTCTATAATTATATGGCCATTTATGATTTAACTTGTATGGATGATGCTTCTAAGGATGGACAATTCCGGACTTGCTCCAGATGAAGGAAATGAAAGACATTTTCTTGATTACTGAACAGGTTAAAGTTTTTGGAACAGGCCAATTTCCAATGAACTATAAGACCTACTTACACAGAACTTGCATGAATATTGTTTTCAGGATGCACACTAACTATAAAGAAAATATTATGTGAGATTTGCATTACTTATACTGATAACATTTGTCGAGGTGAGCTTCGTAATCTTTGATTACCTATGTTTTACTTAGGAATATATATAGGAAATATCTTGTTTTCAAGAAAAGCAAAAACTTTATTAGTCATGTTGTAGAAATATCCTTAGCTAGATTCAAGTTTGTTCAAATCATGTTACCCGGGGGTAGGGAGGGACGACAATAGGGGATAAAAGTTTTTCATAGGAGATATATAAAATATATATTTAAAAATCTTCTTCTCAAGAACAGAGAAGCTATAATTAGTCATATTAAAAAAGAAGCATCCTCAGGTAGTGTAGATTCAAATTTGTTCAAATCTGATCAGGGTTCAAAATTCACTATATACAACTCGCAAAATGCGAGTTAGAATTCCCAAATTGCAAGTTAAAAATTAGGTAACTCGCAAAAAATTGCAAGTTGATTTTTTGGCATTGAAACTGTAGTGAAATTATACAATATGACAGAACACAATGTTTTTGATTTAAATCAGTAATTTAAATAAAAGTCACACTGTAGTTGTATTTTGTGTATTGTACAGTAGTTACTTTGTCCTTAAGTGACACGTATTTAATTTATGTAAATTTAACTTTATATGAAAATTGCGAGTAGTCTTTTAAATTTGCGAGTTCACTTTCTTGGTACTCGCAATTATTTGCGAGTTGTAATTTTAGGGAGTTTCTAACCCTGAATCTTGACCCCAGGGGGTAGGGCGAGGCTACAACAGCAGATCAAAGTACCAAGGAATGTATAGGGAAAATCTTAAAAAATCTTCTCAAGAATAGCAAAGCCATGATTAGTCATATTCATACAGAGGCATCCTCAGGTAGCGTAGATTCAAATTTGTTCAATCACCCCTGGGGATAGCTCTTACATTCATACTTTTTGATGAATGCTTTTAAACTCAGTACATAAACATATTGGAGGAGTGTTGACAAAATGATATGGTCGAATTAGCATGAAAGCACGTGCATGTACGTGTTCTTGGCTGTGATTGGCTGATACAAAAATCTCCATAACTTCCTTGTTTTTTGATGAAATCCTTTGAAATTCAAAATGTAGGTATATATACTGTATATTATGAGTTGCTAAAAGATGATATATGTGCAAAGTTATTGAAATTGTGCATGCACATGTGCTTTGAAACTCAGTACATAAACATATTGGAGGAGTGTTGACAAAATGGATTGGTTGAATTAGCATGAAAGCATGCGCATACACATGTTCTGGGCTGTGATTGACTGATACAAAAATCTCCGTAACTTTCTTGTTTTTTGACAAAATCCTTTGAAATTCAAAATATAGGTATATATTATAAGTTGCCACAAGATGATATATGTGCAAAGTCATTGAAATCGTGTATGCACGTTTGCTGCTATTTGATTGGCTGAAATTGTAAATGGCTATAACTTTCTAAGCTTTCAATAAAAAAAAAAATGAGATTTAGAAAAAAATATGTATAATGTGTCCCTACAATATGGTAATATCAGAAATGAATGAAAGGACATGCATGCATGTGTGTTGCATTCTGTTGGCAAATGCTTTAATGATTGTAACTCCTTTTCTTTTCAATGAAATACTTTGAAATTTAACACATGGGTATATTTTGTGAGGCACTACAAGAGAATATTTAGAAAACATGTACTTTCATGTGTGCTGAAATCTGATTGGCTGTCGATGTATATGATCATAACTTCCATAGTTTTCAGCAAAACAAGATAAAAGTCTGTGTGTACGTACTAGAAAGTATGTCCCTATATTATGGGATCATCAAAAATGAATATAATGACATGCATGCACATATGTGGTATTCTGATTGGTCAATATTTTGAGTGCTATAACTTTCTTAGTTTTACATGAAGTTCTTCGAAATTTAAAATATGGCTTAATATATTTAATAGATTCTAAAGTATAACATACGTTAAAACTCTGGAAAATACACCCATGTACTTGTGATTGTTTTAGGTAATACTCGTACAACTATATCTGTGTTGTCATCCCAAAAAAAATACTTTGGAAAGTAAAGAGTAGGCCAACAATATGAAAGAATGCGTGTAGCTCGTTGAGAATTGGGCACAGAAAGTGAGAAGGGGAGCCATTTGGGGAACATCTGTAATGGTTCCTGTTACAATTAGTACAAGTTTAGATCAGGTTGTCCCAGCCAGATGATTTAGAAATTGTTATTGTTCTTATTAATATATAAAATTCATGAATTTTGCAAAGATGAAGATCCTGTGAATGTATTTAATTATACCTCTTGATGTGCTGTTTTCTATAATTTGTAAGATTCATTAAATTAGTTTGAATAGGAATCATATAGTATATAGTAATATAATTTATAATTACTGGTCAAAGATTTTACATTAGCCTGATATAATCTTGCTAAATTTTATATATTTACATTTGCAAATGTTTTCTCCTTTATAACACTATATGAGCAATGCGTTTTTAAAACTGTATATAATTATACAGGTTGGTCATTTGACTACAAATTCATTGTTAAGTCATAAACGGTCGACATAATTTCACAGTGACATCATAAGTGGTTGACATGTTCAACTCATTCAATTTATACCATTAAGGTTTGAAAAAGTATATCATTTCATGAGTTTAAAACTATAATACGCAGATATTTGCTGTAAATCAGTCACAAATGTAAATAAAAGTAATAAGGTATCATTTTTAGGTCACCTGAGTCACTCAGGTGATCTATTGCTATCTGTTTTCATCCGTTGTGCGACATGCGTCGTGCGTTGGCATTTGAATGTTTACAGCTTCTTCTCTGAAACCACTGAACTGGTTGGGCTCTACTGATCATATAGAGAAAATGCATTAATTAAAAAAAAATATGTTCCTGGGCACTTAGCATGCAAACCAAGTAGTTGTAATGAGCAAGGGTGTTTTTACCAGATTTGTGAAATAAATGACCTTGGTCAGGGTTGTTGTGTTAGGGCTGGGCTCTATTATTTTTACTCTACTTTGCGAGAAGTTATTCCCCTTTGATTATTCACCTGTGTGATAAGAAATAACTAATTAATGTAAATGATAGGTCATTAGAATAACAAAATTACACAATAATTTTTAATCTATAATAGAAAAAATACTCATTGTTATTATTTGCATTTACAGTCAAGTAAAGTAATCTAATTTTGGAATTGTTTCCTTTGGAAATTTTTTGATTGCCCTTTCTGTTGTTTTTGTAGTTCTGTACGGTTGTTATTTGCATATACAGTCAAGTAAAGTGATCTAATTTTAGAATTGTTGCCCTGGGAAATTTTTTGATTGCCCTGTGTCTGTTGTTTTTAAGCAGCATCTTCCTCTATCAGTTTATTTTGCCTTATCATTTTTAATCATTCTATGGACCCTTTATAGGTTTGTATTATACTCAGGTGACCGTTAAGGCCCTTGGGCTTCTTGTTTGAGTTTTATTGGGATGTAAATATGGGTTGGCACAAGATCAAATCTTCCATAAAACCCTTTATGGGATTTGATCACATGACCAACCCGTATTTACATCCCAATAAAACTCAAAAAATGATCCGTATTTCTTAAATAAAAGATACTTAGACATCCCAGAAGAAATGCAGGGAGGAGAAAACATATCTTTCCTCAATTTCAACCCAAGGAAAAGTCATTGAATCTTGCATTTCATACTGTATTTACTTGTACATGACAATGTAAAATGATTTTATTTTTTATAGGGACCTTTATAGCATTTGGTTTACTGGGATTTCGGAGTATGTTCAGTATTATTCTGACCTAATAAAAGAATTAAATTCTGAAGGAAGAGGTGGAGTGGAAGGCCAATTCAGTCAGCTTCTAACATTCTTCAGCAAGATATTCCTGATGAACCCTACGTGAGTTTATTTTATGCTTGCCCTTCCTCTTTGAACAAGTTTCAGCTTCTTTTCTGGAACTGCTTAACCAATTTCAATAATAAATTTGGAATATAGAATCTATGGCAGAAGGAAATAAAAGTTGTGAGTTTTTGGTCTCTGCCCCCCTCCCCCAACCTCTTCCAGGGACCTGAAGAGTGGGGCTAAAACAATCAAAATTAATGCAATCTTCAAAAATCATCTTTACCCCTGGACATCGATATGTGATATTTACCTCAGTATTTCATATGATTAAAGTGTTTCAATACTCCTTACTCGAAATAATAATTGCACGTGTAATTATTGGAGAGAAGAGTATATGTGCATGTCTCTGATTTTTTTTTTTCTAGTCAATTTTTTTTACTTTGAATAAACACTAATAAAATCGAAAGTACCGAAGTTTTGGACAATTGGTCGATGCTTTATATAGGTTGAATGGCTCATTTTCAGCCCAAATTTTAAAAAAATCCTTAGATAGGGCTGTTCTGAGTGATGATTTTCGTTGACTTTTAACGTTTCCAATACGTATCCGAATCACGCAAAAATATTAAATCATGGTATTTCCCGTGACATGATTATATTGAGATGGTTACATGTATGTTGTATTTGTGACTAACATTTAAATTTGTTTATTATTATTTATTATTGTTTTTCCGACTCGTCTGTATCAAAGTTGTAGTCATAGATAAACTCTATCTTTAAAAATAACCAACAGCAGTACTTTAAAGAAAGAATCCAGACCATCGCCATAATTATTTCCATTGTTAGGTCACCTGAGTCACTCAGGTGACCTCTTGCTATCCGTTTTCGTCCATCTTCGTCCGTTGTGCATCGGTCGTAAACTTTTAAACATTTTCAGCTTCTTCTCTAGAACTGCTGAGCCATTTTCAACCAAATTTGGTATATAGCATCCATGGCTGAAGGGGAACAAAAATTGTGAATTTCATGGTCCCCGCCCCCCTGGGGCCTGAGGGGTGGGGCTAAAACCATCAAAATTAATACAATCTTCAAAAATCTTCTTCTTTACTCTTGGACATCAAGCAGTCAAACTGCTGGCATGATTGTAATAAGCATTGAGCCCTCTACCAAAATTGTGAAATTTGTGGCCCCAGGATGAGGGGTTCTGGTGTTAGGGCAGGGCTCTATTGATCATATACTGAAAATGCATTTATTCTTTGAAAATCTTCTTCTCTCCCCCTGTATATTTAGAAGACAAGTTAAGTGCATGGGTATGATAAGTAAGGGTGCCTCTTTCAAAATTGTGAAATTCACCCTTGGGTCAGGGGTTCTGGTGTTAGGGCGGGGCTCTATTGATCATATAGTGAAAATGCATTATTTCTTTAAAAATCTTCTTCTCTGCTCCTGGGTATTAACAAACTAAGTGCACTGTTATAATGAGCAAGGGAACCTCTTCCAAAATTGTGAATTTCATGACCCTTGGGTCAGGGGTTCTGGTGTTAGGGTGTGGCTCTATTGATCATATAGTGATAATGCATTATTTCTTTTAAAATCTTCTTCTCTGCTCCTGGGTATTAAGCAACAAACTAAGTGCACAGTTATAATGAGCAAGGGTGCCTCTTCCAAAATTATGAATTTCATGACCCCTGGGTCAGGGGTTCTCAGTGATTTTTCTGCATTTTTTAAAAGGGGCCTGGGCCTTTACAATTGGGAAAAATCATCGACATTTGTGTCAAATTGGGAAAAATCAATGAGAAATTAAACCTTAATTGACAGGTAAAGTAAAATATACAAATAAATCACTGTAAAAGTTACATCATTTATTCAATTTATTTGCTACAAAATAACAAATTAGACACAGTTCTAAATTTTAACTTTTTTTTTATCTTTGAAAGGTGTAATTAATTGTGACCAACCTATATTTCCTTTTTGTTTTATTTTGCCACAATGGTAGACATAAGACAAAATCCTTCTAATAATAGCCATTGACGATAGAATAATCTGACATGTTTTATGACAAATCATTTATTTTTCAAACTAATTAATTATTAAAGCTTTCTAATTGCTGCAATTTCTCTGCAATATTAGTTGCATCTGCCAGGTGTGGAAACAGTTTGATTTTCGTAGAATCAGTGATGATTGTTGTAGAAATACTAGTACTTGGATTAACAAATAAAGCTATGTTTCGCCAGTTCACATGCATCTTACACTTTCTTACGATGTATTTACACACAAGTTTGACATGTTACCCATGTGTTTTTCTAGGTCTTGTAAACGCACAAAGTAATCTGCTGTTCCTTAGTATTATTTTAAGAGTCTGAATGACGGACAACAATAGTATTCCATTTTAGATATGTCGTACGTAAAAAATACAATAATACAAAAACAACAGCAGGTTTGTTTTGGGAAAAAAGCAAAAGTGATTGGGAAAAAATCGGTAATTTTTGAGAGGGGAAAGGGCCGATATTCGGACCTAAATTGGGTGTAGAAAAATCACTGGTTCTGGTGTTAAGGTGTGGCTCTAATGATCATATACTGAAAATGAATTATTTCTTTAAAAATAATCTTCTCTGCTCCAGGGTATCAATCAAACAAACTAAGTGCATTGTTATATTGAGCAAGGGTGCCTCTTCCAAAATTGTGAATGTCATGACCCCTGGGTCAGGGGTTCTGGTGTTAGGATGGGGGTCTATTGATCATATTCTTTGTTGCCTCTTTAAATGAAAAGCTTTCAAATAACAAAATTCGAGGACAGTATGCATGTTTTGTTGTATAGTATTCATATCAAATGAGAGAAAGAGTTTGTTTTTCCCCAAACATTTCATGACCGATCACATTTGATAATTCCATCATGAGAGTAAAAAATATTGAACCATGGATCACCATATCTTGAATATGTTAAAGCACATTTATTTTATGAGATATCAGCTGAATATTATTTCTTTTTTAACAAAAATGCTAAAAGAAAATGGTATTTTTGTAATGAAGTATTACAGGGATCAACATTAACGGTTGTCCGATTGCCCGGGACAAGTAAATTCTCAGTTCGGGCAAGTGAAATTGTTGACGTACTTGTCCAATCGGGCAAGTGAATTTTTCTCATACAAATGTACATATTTATTTAGTTTAGATTAATTTATAAATAAAACAATAAATTGAACACTTGATTTCCGCCACGCACCTGACTGACAATGTTTTTGCATTCGGAATTCCTTGGTAGCGTTTCTGGATTATGCCAATCATTTAAAAATCGGGTTCATTATTTTCTTTCGTAGTACGTCTAACAAAGGGATCATACCAAAAATAATTTTTTAAAATATGAATTTTATTAAAAGGAAACGGAGGGTTATTGTTGCATAGCAGTATGTGTTAACAGATTAAATTTACAAGCACAGTGGTATTCATTTTCGTATAAATATAGCATGCATCGACATTTTTTCCAGATTGACAGTATGACAGTAGAGTATTTGGTTACATTTTTCGTATCATAACGTTTACAGTAATTAATAATTTTCTTTTTATGGTCTTTCCTTATTTTGGGCAACTAAGTTTTGCATTCGGACAAGTCAAAGTTTGAGATCACTTGCCCGAAGGGCAAGTGAATGTGAAAGTTAATGTCGATCCCTGAGTAAGTGGGTTAAATCAAATTTTGCAGGAGAGGAGATGCTTCACAAAAAGTGCAAATGACACTTAATGGGATAGAAACAACTAGTGTTCCAGATCTAAGATACAGGATGCAGGGAGATCTATCTGTTGGAAATATAGCATCTCTTGTGACAGTGTCTGTTGGAGAGGTTGGTATGAAAGTTCTAAGTGTTATCTGCTAATGATTAAAATTTTGAATATTGTATACTGTAAACAATTTCATTTGGCTGTGTATTCTGTTTGGTGCCTTTCATGGAAGAACGCTTCTGCTAAATCAAGTTCATTATTAAACATCTTTTATGTATATATCTATATGAAGCACATTCAGAAATGTTCCATTTGTATAAAAATTCTAGTACAATTTCAAGAACTTCCCAAGTCTGTTTTTATGCCCTGAGATAGAAGAGCAGGGGGCGTATTATTTTTGTCCTGTATGGCAATCTGTCATTCTGTATTTCTGCTTTAATCCTAACCTTCCTAAAAAATGTAGAGACTGTATTTGACAGCATTTTAGAAGTATGTCAGAGCATTTAATATTTTTCATTAAATTTTTAACTCACCCATTTTTCTGAAAAAAAAAATTAAAATTTAATGGATTGGGTTCAATATTTTGGAAGCCTAGGATGTTCTAGAAATAGTGTTTGCATTATTTAGAGACTCCATGTGTGGTTAAGTCACGTAAACCTAAGGTTATGGTCACATAATACAAATGGTCAGATTTGAATCATTATTTATCTCATTATTTATCTTGCTTCTGTGGATGGTCTTTGTTGTTGTTCAGTGTATATTGAAATGTTGTACATCAATCCTAACTACTCAGCCATTTCTGTGAATGATCAATAAATATTTATAACATTGGTAGATGGTGACATTTTATTGTACATGACTATTTTATTATAATATATTAAGGGATGGACATTTCACATTAATATTGTTATGTTAAGAAGACAGTAATAAGTAATATTTGTATATGTTCTGTTATATCCCTCTATAAACCTGTATCTAGCAGCTGCAATCCTAACTCCATGAACGCAATATGCACAGGATGTATTATTTTCGAAAATTAAGAAATGCTATACACAATATACATGCTGTTCAGGAATATATATAGGAAACATAGTAAAAAAGAATAAGTTGTAGGTTGTAGAGTGGACCTTTATCTATCTGGATGCCAGATATCTGGACACTTCAGCTTCTGGACGATTTTTCTCGGGAACAGAATTTTTAGATCACCTGAGTCACTCAGGTGACCTATTTCTATCTGTCTGTCATCTGTCCGTTGTAAACTTTTGAACATTTGCAGCTTCTTCTCTGCAACCATTGAGCCATTTTCAAGCAAATTTGGCATATAGCATCTATGGCTTAAGGGAAACAAAATTTTTGAATTTTGTGGTCCCCGCCCCCCTTGGGCCTGAGGGATGGGGCTTAAACCTTCAAAATAAAATGCAATCTTTAAAAATCTTTTTCTTTACTTCTGGACATCAAGCAGTTAAACCGTTGGCATAATTGTAATAAGCATTGAGCCCTCTACCAAAATTTTGAACTTCATGGCCCCTGGGTCAGGGGTTCTGGTGTCTGGGTGGGGTTATATTGATCATATAGTGACAATGCATTATTTCTTTTAAAGTCTTCTTCTCTACTATTGGGTATTAAGCAAACAAACTAAGTGAATTGTTATAATGAGCAAGGTTGCTTCTTTCAAAATTATGAATTTCATGACCCCTGGGTCAGGGGTTCTAGTGTTAGGATGGGGCTATATTGATCATGTAGTTAAAATGCATTATTTCTTTAAAAATCTTCTTCTCTGCTCCTGGGTATTAAACAAACAAACCAAGTGCATTGTTATGATGAGCAGTGATGCCTCTTCCAAAATTGTGAAATATTCATGGCACCTGGGTTAGGAGTTGTGGTGTTAGGGCGGGGCTATATTGATCATATAGTGAAAATTTATTATTTCTTTAGAAATCTACTTGTCTGCTTCTGAGTATTAAGCAAATACACTAGGTGCATTTTAATAATGAGCAAGGGTGCCTTTTTTTCAAAATTGTGAATTTCATGACCCCTGGGTCAGTGGTTATAGTGTTAGGGTTGGGCTACATTGATCATATAGTGAAAATGCATTATTACTTTGAAAATCTTCTTCTCTGCTCATGGGTATTAAGCAAACAAACTTAGTGCAATATTATAATGAGCAAAGGTGCTTCTTTCAAAATTGTGAATTTGGTGACCCCTGGGTCAGGGGTTGTGGTGTTAGGACAGGGTTCTATTTAACCTGTGGAAATGCATTAATTCTTTGAAAATTAATGGTACCCTCTAGGAAGTAAGTAATACCCCTAATGATATTGAGATCTGACAGAGATCAAATTTAGTATTTTACTCTGCCCCTGACTAGTAGATAACTCTTTTTTTTCACTGTCATTATAGACATTTTAAATTTAAAAGTTGATCCTTTTTAATATTGCCACAAGCATTGGGGGTGGGGGGGGGGGTGCTTCTTAAATATTTCTTGTGAAGTCAAAAAACAAATGTATATGTACACAACTGCACATTATGATAAGTGGACCATTTCAGGTATGCATGTACATGTTCATGCATCAGGACCTACTATGAATATGATTGCTGAAATTTGTTTGATAAAAAGGAAGAAAAATGCTACCAATCTTTCACATTATGTATTTAATGTTGTAACTGTCTGAAATCACCTGTATATATGAAACATACACATTTTAAGGTAAGTAGAATGAAAAGAGGGGTCAATGGCCAGCCCTTAAAGGGATCGAAGCAAGATTTGCATCTTTCAGATGGTATATAAAATAAAAGTGAAATTGCAAAATGTATTATACAGTAAAATTTCAGACATTGTATGACTAGTGAAGTACTTTTGTATTGTCTGATATTGAACAAAAAGGTTTAGGTGATTTTCTATTGTTTACCTTATATATTCATGTAAATTATAACATTCAGAGTGAATTTAAACCTCAATAAATCTGTTATAGTATGTTTTAAGGACTAAAGAAAGGAAAGGACTAATCACTGCTTACATATCAGAGATCATTTTAAAAAGTATGCATATTTAAACTGCACCAAGTACATAAAGATATATGTAGAATTATGAGCTGATTTTATATGAAGAAATATGAAATCAGGGATTTTTTTACCCTTTGATTCCAGGGGCCGGGGCCGTCAAGATTGGGAAAATAGCGATATTTGGTTGAAATTGGGAAAAATATCTACATACAAATAAATAGGAAAAAAGAAGCAAAAGTCAAATATTTAATCATTTTTCTTATTTTTTATAGTATGAAGCTGGCTTAACCAGCTTTAGTGATATGAAATAATACTAGCTGCTGTTGAAGTTCAGAAGCTTAAAAATGGCAAAGCCTCAGGGTATGATAACATTGTAAATGAACATATTTATACGTTGTCATCTTTTTTTACCTTTCTGTAAGAAGTTCTTTTAAGATAAAATTTGAGAGTGGGTTTGTTCCAGATGATGGGTTAATCGGTATTGTTTGACCAATTTACAAGAATAAGAGCGATTCAACCCAGCCTGCCTGAAAATTACCGTCCTAGGCAAACTGGAGAGACTGACATGATGCACGATTATTTATTAAATAACGATCTCAACTTTAATTTTTAAACATCGATCCCGCTTTAAAAAAGTATGCATACAAACATCCGTAGTATTCCGAATAACTTCTCAGAACTCCTCGGATGGCTCGTACATCGCACATGGAGAACATAAACGCCTTTTTGTCATTATTTTATTCTAATAATTTACAACTTAATACTTATTTTCGTATTGGGAATTTTTAGGTATAATTTTGGGAAAAACATACACTTTTCAGCATTGGGAATGGGGCCGAATTTCGGCCCCGGAGAGACCCTAAAAAAATCTCTGGAAATTCATGCATTGATGACATGATAATGGTACAGAATTATTATATGAAAGTAGCAAGTAAGTCACCCATGTATTTCATGACCCTATAGTAATTCAAGGTGTCTGAGATGCAAATGTGTTTTCTTCCTTAAACTGTTTTAGCTTTTTAATTCAGTTGAAAGTTGTTATGTGATACTCAGGTGTCCTAAAAGGCCCATGGACCTCTTGTTCTCCCTTTAGTTTTAGTACAGATATGTAGAGCTACTGTGTCATCATAGACTTCTGGTTAATAATCAGACTCATAGAATTTAAATGTAAGCACAGTAAAAATGTAATTTCAGGTGAAGACATGCTTACCTGTTGCATATGGTGAAAAAACTACCACTGATTTCAATATCACAAAATGGAAGTTTAGAAACCAGTCTGTTGAGAGATTGCTAGGACAGCATGGAGGAGAGCTTTTAGTGGAAACAAAGAAGTCTGTTATAGCAGATACAAATTTAGGAATAATTTGTGTTAAGACCATGGTTAGTAATTTTAATTAATTTTATTACTTGTAAGGCTTCGTGTACTTTTCTGGTCAAAGTTTGTTAATTGTTCATCCATCTGTACTGGAGTACTCAGTGGAGTGGGGCCTCAGTAGGAGGTCAAAATTTTTAATGGGAAAATGAAGGGAAAAATATTTAACAGTGGTTCTATGAGAAAAACAGGTAGGGGGTCATACATGAAGTGTAACACACATTGAAATTTTCACAAAAGACTCCCTAAATAAAGTAAATCCTCACAAGGGCATAGTTTTCTTTAAAAAAAATTCACCTTTGTGTCCCATCAGGGGAGTACACCATGATGCATCCATTTCATCGTAATGCTGAGTTGGCATTTTTTGAAATACTGCTATTTTTCATCCACTGTATTTTTGTGTGTAATATAAAAATAAGACAACAGAATTAAAATAATTGGAAATATCTGCTATTTATTTAAGCATTGAATTGTGAATATTGGATGTTCATTGTGTCACAACAAGGACGGCTGTGCTGACAAATTGTATAACATGTGTTAGCACTTTTTGAAAACTTTCTGTGTTATGACACGATGAGTGTTCAAAATTCACAATTCAGTTGTTATATTTACATTTATTGATTTCATGGAAGATTGATAAATATGGCTTCTTTGAATGTATCATGCCTTTTAAAGTCATGATTAGTCAAGGAAATATAAAAGCATCCTCAGTAAGTATAGATTCAATTAGTTTTAATCATATCCCTCTGGGGGGAGTAGGTTTGGACCACTTATATATTTAAACTTTTCAATACCAAAATGATGTCTTCTTTTCTGTAACCAAAGTGCTCAGGTGAGCAATGTGGCCCATGGGCCTCTTGTTTTTTAAAAGATTCGTTCCTTGGTTAATGTAAGCCCTATGCTGAAAGACGTACATGGAGGATGCATCCAGGAACCCATATTTGTTTCGGATGCTGATTTTTACTTACATTTTCTTGGTGATCGAACTGAAAAAAATTTCACTGCAAGTCCATTTCCAAGTAACTAAAAATCCTACTCAGATAAAACTTGCATAAATGTTGCATGTAGGAAAGCATGCTGCCAGAACAATCATTTGATTTTAGACTTTGCCTTACTTAAAGATAACATTCATTGAGGTTAGCTATGTAATCTTTGATTGCCCATGTTTTATTCAGACATGTAGTACCTCTTATTCACCAAGTGCATTAATGCTTCCTCCTCGCGAGGTGTGTTGCATTCAAAAGAATTCTGAATTATTGCATTTGCTTTCCTATGTTAAGTAACCCTTTGAGAACTGCTCAACCAGTAGTCAACCCTAACTACTATTTTGGCATAGTACATCCAAATAATAACACTATTATATAGAATATAACTGATGATTAGGCCTACAAACAACAGTTTATTTTTATGATATTTAAAAAAATGTTTTAAACATTCTGTTACTTGTAAAAAAGAAAAGTTCTGATGTACCAGCTGCACAGTTTTGACATAGTTCTGGCAGTAAGGAGGATAATAGATAAATTACAGTATTTCACTATTGTACTTGTATCTTAAACATAATTATTAACCAGCTCATAAACAGGTGCTTATGATGCCAATGTATGAAACATACTGAATTCAGTCCATGTAAAATATTTTTTCTCATTACTTGTATAAAATGAATACAATACGTTTATTTCAACCTTGCAGATCATTTTCACACATTTGGATTGGGAGAAGGGGCATTTGGTATGCTTGAAATATGGCACAAAGGTGGACGATAAAAGAAGTAACATTCATTACTCAAAGCCTTACAACTTTTTAGTTAGAAAAGAACGAGAAGAAATTTTGGATACAATGTTTAATCTTGGTTTGCTCTGCAGAGTTAGAAGTTTACTCACATATCAGGAATAGCTACATACACATTTTGCCTTTTTGAGTTATCAAAGGGGCAGGGACATAGATTTGAAGCTGATATTTTTCAAAATTTTTGGTATAATATCATAGCTTACCTTTTAGACTGACATTTTATGAAAGAATGTTAAAAAACTTTAATATCTTAGAATTATATAGGAATTTTGAGTGTGTTTGACTGCCAGACATCCTTGCATTTTTTCAAACTAAAATTCAGCCTTAGAATTAAAAAAAAAGTGGAAAATCTGTCATGTGTTAATAAATACTATTAAAACTATAATCAGGAAAGTCAGAATTAAAATGTAAAAAGCAATCCAATACACCAGTGTTGACAGTTCTTGTTCGGTGATATGTGCAGTGTTAGCAAAACCCACACACCAAGTAAAATGTCAACCCGAATTTTAAGATTTTGATGTAAGTTCAAATCATTGAACTGGAATTGTTTCTTGAATAAGAATAGAAACTTAAAATTGTAAACAAAACGACAATACAACTGAACTGTGTTCATTCCCCTTTAAGTCCTTTAATTGTGAATGGATACATTAACATGTTAATGTAAGACATGCTTTTTAGCTCACCTGAGTTTAAAGCTCAAATGAACTTTCCTGATCACATTTTATAGGCCCATTGTCTGTAAAATTTTTACATGTTTGACTTCTTCTCAAGAACCACTATATCAATTTTAACCAAACTTGACACAAAGCATTGTTGGATGAGGGGGATTTCAAATTTGTATAAGTAAAGGGTTACATCCTCTTTCAAAAGGTGATAATTAAGAAATGAGGAAAAAATCATTGACATCTTCTTCTCAAGAACCACTAGTTAGGAAAAAAAATCTTTTCCAGGAGGGTAGGATGGAGTCACACTAGGTGATCAAATTTTTACATATGAATGTATAGGAAAAATCTTTAAAAATTTTTAAGAACAGCAAAGCCGTTATATTGAAACAAAAACAGCAAAGACATAATTATATGGAAGCATCTTCAGTTAGTGTAGTTTTAAGTTTGTTTAAGTCATAACCCTAGGGATATGGTGGGGCCACTGTAGGCAATCAGATTTTTTTTTTACAAAGGAATAAATAGGAAGAAATTTTTAAAATCCTCTTCTCAAGAACAACAAAGATACAATCGCTCACATTTATATGGAAGCATCCTCTGGTAGTTTAGCTTCCAGTTTGTTCAGATCAACACCATTGGGAATAGGCTGACACTACCATAGCGGACCAGAGTTGTATAACTACTATGTAGAAAGATATCTTTCCAAGATTGGTAAGACCACACTAAATCATATTAATAAGCAAAACTTCGAAGTTGTGTGGAATCATTTTTTTTTAAATTGTGAGCCTTTGGGTTAGGGTTGGGCAAAAAAAGAGAAATCCATATTTTACATAATGCATGTGTACAGGAAGAATCTTCTTCAGAACAGCAGGGCCATGTTGATCCTATTGAAGCTTCTAAGTGTTGTGTGGATTCAACTTTGATTAAAACATCGCTTTCTTAGGGCTAGAGTTTGGTCCACAATACGGAGTCAATGTTTACGAAAAAAGGATTTTTTTTTAAAAAGTCTGCTAATGAAGAACAGTGGGACCAAATTGACCCAGGTGGATGTTGTTGCCTATGGACCTCTTGTGATGAGTACTTGCTTAATGCAGTCATATTTTTGCCATGTATATATTTGCTATTTTAAGGATCCTACATAGTATTACGAGGGTTTTTAGAAAAGTTCAAGGACGAATTTTATTTTATTATGCTATTTGCATGAAACCAGTGAAATACACGTGTTTTCCAATAAATATACAAAGATCCGAATGATTTCCGATGATCTGTAAAAAGTATACAACTAATCATTAAGATAAAATATGTTTCACGGAGCATGTCACTATTCTACACATTTTCATTATGTAGACATTTTTGTGAAATTATAACTTGCACTGTTTACTAATTAACATTATAGCACATAAAGGATGTGTTGCTATAATACGCCTTAAATATCATTCTGTGAAATTTTGAAATAAATTGGAGAAGTTATGACTGTTTGATCTCTTAATAATAGATGGCCAATGCATAAAAACAAAGTCAAAAATGGCAACGTCATTGAATGTCTTGGAGGACCGAGGTGTTAAAAAATCATGTGTACAGACAGGAGAATGCCTGATAGAGACTAAAAATGTTTTAAGATGCTGTTGTGGATTACCTAGATGTATCTTGGATCAAAGTGTTCAGATGGTAGCAGCTTTGTAAGGATGGAAGGATTGACATTTTTGATGATCAACTCCTGCAATACCCCGCTTAAATATCATCTGGACATGGCACCTATAGATTTTGCATTGCTTCCATACCTGAACTCTTAACTGCATAGACATTGAGTTTAGGATCTCGCTGATATCTTATACGCCACAAAAGACTTTTTATGCCCCGCCATGAATATGGCCGGGGCATATAGTGTTTGTCATGTCCATCTTCTATCCTTCTGTCCTTCCGTCCTTCCGTCTGTCCTTCCGTCACACTTTGCCTTTAGCTTTGTTCAAAGCTCAGTTTCAAAGAAACTATTCAAGATATTTTTATCAAACTTCATGTGCTGATAGATATTGATGAGGGCTATGCAACTGCATCAACATTTTTTGACCTTGACCTTTCCTTTGACCTTGACCTCACTTTTCTTAAATAAGTGTTTGGCTCAGTTTTTAAAGATACCATTCAAGATAGTGTAATCAAACTTCATATGTTGATACATACTGATGTAAGCTATTCAACTGCATCAACATTTTTTAACCTTGACTTTTCTTTTGACCTTGACCTCACTTTTCTTAACTTAGTGTTTAGCTCAGTTTTAAAGATACCATTCAAGATAGTGTGATCAAACTTCATATGTTGATACATACTGATGTAAGTTATTCAACTGCATCAACATTTTTTGACCTTGACCTCACTTTTCTTAAATTAGTGTTTAGCTCAGTTTTAATGAATCCATTCAAGATATTTTTAACAAACTTCATATGCTGATACATACTGATGAGAGCTATTCAACTCCAATATTTTTTACCTTGACCTTTTCTTTGACCTTGACCTCACTTTTCTAAAATAAGTTTTTAGCTCAGTTTAAAAGATACCATTCAAGATAATGTTATCAAACTTCATATGCTGATACATACTGATGAGAGTTATTCAACTACATCAACATTTTTTGACCTTGACCTTTCCTTTGACATTGACCTCACTTTTCTTAAATTAGTGTCAAACTTTGTATGCTGATACATACTGATGAGAGCTATTCAACTGCATCAATATTTTTTGACTTTGACCTTTCCTTTGTCCTTGACCTCACTTTTCTTCAATTAGTGTTTAGCTCAGTTTTAAAACCATTCATAATATTTTTATCAAATTTCATATGCTTATACTTACTGATGTAACCTTTTCAACTGCATAAACAATTTTTGACCTTGACCTTTCATTTGACCTTGACCTCACTTTTCTTAAATTTGTGTCAAACTTCATGTGCTGATACATACTAATGTAAGCTATTCAACTGCATCAATATTTTTTCGTCTTGACCTTTCCTTTGACCTTGACCTCACTTTTCTCAATTTGTGTTAAAATGTTGCATTACTAATATACCCTCGGTGGGGCATTCATGTCCTATGGACATATTTCTAGTTTAAAGTAAAATTTCCTGCCATAGTAATACAATTTTTAGCTCACCTCAACGAAGTTGGGGGAGCTTATGTCATACCCTGGGCATTGGCACCAGTGTCGGCATCCTCATTGGCATCCCAGGTTAAAGTTTTTGGAGCAGTTTTCTTTCCAAGTATTTCTAAGCCATATATTGATCAGAGTTGCATGGATGATGCATCTAGTATGTTTTCTTGTATCATAAAGGTTTCAGATGGTGCATTTTCATCCAGTATTTTCCTTAAAAAATGACAAGGTTAATGTTTTCGGAGCAGATTATAGATTTTCAAGTAGGTTAAACTTTTTGGAGCAGGTCTCATTCCCAAGTAACATCTAGGGATGCACACTACCAGATTTGCTTTGCAAATTTGGTCTATGTAGGACTTACATGTATAGTTACCATGGTATGAGACCTGCTCCAAAAACTAATATCTGCAAGCCCTATGGTGACTAAATTTTCTTGGATGATGGATCCAGGGATGTTCACTACCAGATTTGCTTCTGATGCTGGATCTGACCTACATCTTCTAGATGAATGACCAAGTTAATGGTTTTAGAGCAGGTTCATTCTAAAGTAGATATAAGCCCTATGATGACCAAAATTGCATGTATGATGCATAAGGGGATGCACACTGTGAGGCTTGCTTCAGATACTGGATTTGACATATTTTCCTGACGAGTGGCTGTGTGAAAGTTTTTGGAGCACGTCCATTCCCAAATCATTCTCAGCCTTCAGTGACGAAACTTGCATGGATAATCAGGGGTTTAAAAATACGGTGGTCCGAGGTCCGGGACCTAAGGTTTATGGGGGTGGACTAGCTGATTGTTACCATTCAATAGTCCGTCGGACTAGCACTTTTGAGTAGAACCGAAAATATTTTAATTGAAAGTATAAAAATAAATAAATAAAAAAAATCTCCAAATCTCGTTTCTTCTTAAGTGGTTCACAAAACGCACTATTTTTAAGTACTAGTCGCATCCCTGTAACGTTTTAATTCATTGCTCCTAAAAATAAAACAAAGTTAAAACGTCTGTTGGATAGCGTAAATTTTACAGCGTAAAAACTCATGTACTTCGGTCTTCGTTTATAAATATGTGTAAAAAGAGTAAAGGTATGCAGCCTCCGAAATGGCGTCTCCTCCACTCGCTTGTTTACATTACTTGTTCTTTTTATCTTGTGTTTTTTATCTGGACTAGTAATTTAATGATACGGAATAGTGAATTTTACAAGCTTAATAGTCCTTGGACCAGTGAATAATGTTTAGGGAAGATTTAAATCCCTGATAATAATCTAGGGATGCACACTACCACACTTGCTTCGGATGCTGGATTTGACCGAGTGGCCATGTTAAAGATTTGAAACAAGTTCATTCCAATTTAATTATAAGCCCTACCTGTACCAAAGTAACTTGCATGGATTATGTATTTAGGGATGCAGACTACTAGACTTGCTTCAGATGCTGCATCTGACTTACATTTTTTTTGATGAGTGACCAGATTAAATTTTTTTTAGCTCACCTGAGCCAAAGGCTCAAGTGAGCTTTTCTGATCAAAATTTGTCCTTTGTCGTTGTCGTTGGCGTCGTTGTAAACTTTTCACAATTTCATCTTCTCCAGAACTACTGGGCCAATTTCAACCAAACTTGCCACAAAGTATCCTTGGGTAAAGGGGATTCAAGTTTGTTCAAATGAAGGGTCACGTCCTCTTTCAAGGGGAGATAATAAGGAATTAGTGAAAAATTAATAGCATCTCTTAAAAATCTTCTTCTCAAGAGCCACAGGGCCAGGAAAGA